ACGCGTGCACAATTCTGTGTCAATATTAGCATGTACTTTATTGATAAGATTATACAGTAAAAACACTAGCGGCCCATGCCCAAATCTCAACGTTTCATACTTGACAGAATGCGAATTTGTGGCCACATTTTGTGCGAGCGATCGTTCAGCGCTATGTTGATTTGTTGAAAAAAAGCTGGGAGAGTATTAAAACTTGAATTATAAAGTACTGTCGGCGATTTCTGAAAAAATCGATATCTCCGGTTCTATTGGGCCTAACAAGTCCCTTAAAACGGGAAAATTCTCTTTAGCTCAAGCTAGTGTTAAATGGAAATTTTTGACTGATGCGCCGGATATCTATGGATAATTTTTGTCACCATCAAGGTTTTGTTTTCACGCGTGCTGATAATAATTTGTTCGTCGCGCAACTAATTATGCGTGAAATAAACTCGAGTCGGCATCATGTTTTCGTGCCGCTTTGCGGCACTATTAACACAATAAAATTTACTTGAGAGGTGGAAACGCATGTTGGTGATATTTTTTTTCAATTCAACTACCACTGGATTTTAAAATTGTCACATAACCCACACCTCCCTATCACCCGCAGTGGCGCGCGTTTAATGCAAAATCATCAGATTACCCGCGGGTAAACGACCGGAAATTGCAGTAGTAGCGGAATCACCGGAAGAAATCATGATTTCGAAATCTCAGTTTTCGCTGCGTGTTTCCAAACTTAATTTTTTCTTGTTAAAAAGGTGCCTTCTGAGAGCCCTCGCGGTCAATGAGTTATAACCTGCACTTGTTAGCATTTAGATTTTCTGTTTGCATCTATATCGTGTGTTGTTTTCAGTACCTTTTTCAATTCTAACCGTTCATCAGCCAGTGATAAGATGTAGAGAAACGAAAAACAGAAAAACAGACAAACAAACAAACAAACAAACAAAACAGTTACTGAAATTAGTTCCATAGAAATCATACACGTCGAGAATACGTTCTGGTTCAAGTTGTTTAAATTGTTTTTAAGACGTTTAAAGAATCTAAAATTCAGTTCAGCTTTTTCAATTCAGCGGTGAGGTTCGACCTCTTCTCCATCATTGTTGCAATTAAAAAAAATAAAAAAACGCGTTGAAATCTTGTGCGTTTGTGTAATTGTCATACTCGTTAAGTAAAACGGCAAAAAAAAAATTCATTAAAACCTGAAACTAAGTGAAACTAAAGCCTGACAAAAATTCAGTACAGGATTTAAATCCATGACCTCTGCGATACTGCTAGCGGTGCTCTACCAACTGGGAGCTGGTCATTATGTTGGTTCCAAATAAACCCGTGAAGTGATGAATAAATAACTGTGAGAAGGATTCAGGAAGTCACTAACTTATGATATCGATATCAATGTGCTTAATGCGAGGTCGAAAAATATCGGTTTAAGCAACTTCTATGAAAAGAAAAATAATAAAAAAATGAAACCATGTTTAACAAAACAGCTTTGAGACATGTTTAGACTTAGGTGTGACTCAGTTCGTGTTTGTCACGCAACCTTGCAAAACGGGAGGATAAAAGTAACGTTAATACAGAAACAGTGTTCCAAAACCGAAAATAAAACCAGAAAGGCAAATCCAGCTATTTGACTGAGTAGATATACTATTTTCGTCCCGGAGATTTTGTTTGTTTTTATTTTTATCGATCAATACTCTGAAAATAGTTCGCTTGCGTGTCTTGTAATTCAGGCACGTGTTCCTCATTCTTTTGCTTGTCACGCGGTGTTTAGTGACGAGTTCGCGCCTCGCTCGCCTGGCACAATGGCAGCGGAATATGAAGAGGAGATTTTGAAGTTACTACGAGCACAGAGCCGACCAGTTAGCTTCATAACGGAATCAGAGTTAGTAAACATTGATCTTAAGGAGGATTCAAGTCGTCTAAATGAAGACAGCGAACTTAGTGAGACGGTATGAATATTTGACTGGTTCAATTGTTGTTTATCTTCCACGGTCTGTGAATTTCACGAGCTTATAAATATTTGATGGGTTCTTTTGTCTCCTAGGAGTTGTTGCTGGCTGGAATATTGGTGAATGAGGCTAGACTCGGTCGAAATGGTTACTTTAAGACCTCTCCGAAAGAATTAAGGTTAGCTTGATGTTTTCATACAAAATTCTGTAGTATATTTTGTTTACTTCATGTCCCAAAATTATGGCACTTTTTCTCTTTCGCTCGGTGTCCTCATCGTGGAAGAATTCTCTCGTTTAAAACTAGGTTTTTGTCCACTTGACCTATACACAGTAGTGCGTTTTGAGTGATATTTTTTTTCATCTCTAAAAAGCTGCTTGTTGTTAATTATTTACCTATGCAAATTTTATTTAGTGTAATTCAGATCTACTATACATTTTATGATTTCGTTCTGCTACCTTACGTTTTGAATACATTGAGGTATTCTTATATCGATATATTCCGAGTGACCATTTGTGAATAAAAACAAGCTTTTCCTAGCTATTTTATCACATCTGTTTCTGTAACAATGAAAAGGAACCTAAATTGGGAGGGACTAGGAGTGGGGGTGAGGAGTGGTACTCCTCTGAGGGGTACTCCTCTCTTCAGACTGGGTGAAGGTACCCCACCCATTGCCACAATAGCTTTGAAGTCCTCCATTTAGCATTTCTAGATTTTTATTTAACTGCAGAGGGGAGAAGAACTTTGAATAAAACCCAAGTAGTCATTCTAGTGTGATCACTTTGCACACAACACCTTATTGCAATTTTAAATGCCATTTTGTTGTGTACTGTCAAATTCAAGGAAGCATGACATTGGCCACTTGTTTGAGATGTTTGGATGCAAGCCAGGAAAACTGGGCCTAATGCTTCAATCAAATGATGTTGATAATGGATGTTTTTTGTGATAACTTTAGACTCTTGTTTCCATTACTTCTGGGCAGTATGGTAAACTTCCTGTAATAAGAACCATAGTGAACAAACCTACCAGCATAATACCAGTGGACCTCAGCTGGAAAAAACTGACCCAGATTTTCTGATCAGCATACAAACTTATCAATTGTTAGCCATTAGGCTTTGCAAGCATGAAGTTCCTTTTGCCTTGCTTCCCTTTTGTCATAGAAGATAATGGTGGAGTTCAGGTGCTGTTGTTGATCTTAATCACTGTACACACAATGAGTTGATGAATCAATCTCTTTTTCACTCTCATAGACTTTACAAAATTTACAACAAGCCAGTATTGTGAGCAGTAGTGTACTTTTGTGTGTGGCTTAATCTCTGTTTGGCATTTTTCGAGGAACCTGCTGTACAAGGAATGACTCTGCCATATTGGGTAAGTCACTTGAGATTAAATCATGAGTTATTTATGAGTAGCTGAATTTAAATTGGGCAAAATTACACTTAAGATAATGCTGCTGATTGGAGATACTCACATTCTTGAGGTAGGGATACAGATCTTAAGCCTTTGGCACAATTACCGTATAACCCATTCACACAGGTACTTGTTTACTGTCCTTCAAGAAGGGTACTTTGGTATAGCCTTAAGCCTTTGGAGACTGATCAACCATCAGTTTCCCACTCCCACATTTGTATTAGTCAATGGTTAGATACTCAACTAAATGGCTGAACAAACAGTGATAACTGGTTTATACTATCTTAGTAACGGGTTTCTTGTAGGTATCTCCTTCCCCATGCATGAATGTCACAGGGCTACTCCAACCTTTCTGACATGGACTTATGCTCATGATTGATTTCATTGGATTGAATGTGACACCTGAATCTTTCAGCTTCTACATTAAGAAGGCCTCTTCCTCTTTTGTCAGTTATCTTGTACAGTTCAATGCCATCTCGGTCGATAAAGAAAGCTCCGTCTTCTGATGGTTTCACCTCAAACTTCCCGGAGAACATGGCAGCTAACATGGGGTCTGGATCCTTAGTCAACGTTTGAAGACTTGTCGTGAAACGGCGGCCGCCAACATTAAGGTTTATGGTTCTTCGACATGGCGTCGATTGCTTCTTGCACAAGCGACTAAATACAGGAATGGCTCCGACCTGTGATTGGATGATAAAAATAGTAAAAGTTAATAAGTTATGTCTTAACTCTTGCTCGTGAGTATTGTTAACCGCGTGTCTCAAAGCGGAACAATGAAATATCAATGCGAGTGAAAACACCGATGAGTCAAACAAGAAATGGTCACTTACGTAGCGAAGGGAAGGCAGCCTTTCTTGTTCAGCGAGGTCGTTCAGCGACATTCCGGCGATGAAAAAGTCATCTGCTGACTAAACTCATTTAGTCAGTTCAGGCGGACGACCAGAGACTGGAGCCATTCCAGTATTTCACCGCTGACAGGAATAGCTCCGACTCAAACGTTTATTAATTTTTTTTTCAATCTTTTTTAAAATAATTTTTCAAACAATTTTTTTAAAAAATTTTTGAAAAAATTTAAACTAAACTAGTGAGCAGCGCTGTGCGAACAGTAGTTGTAAAACTTTTTTATTCTCTGACGCGTTTCGTCTAACTGTCGTAAACTTCTTCAGGGAGTTTTACAAGTCAACACTAAACGCCTATATTTATAAGCCATTGTTAGCAGCCATTGCGGGGGCCAATGACCATAAGGGCTTGGCTGGACCAACGAGGTACTTCGACATGATTCAGTGGGAGAGCCACTGGAACTGGTTTGACTGGTAAGACGATTTTTTGGTTTGGTTTGTTTTTTTCCTTTTTTAGGTCTTGTGGAGTTGTTAGAAATTACCAAGCAAAATTAATCCGCGACTTTCCGTACGGGCCTGAATTTTTTTTTCCAGGTCTTATTTCAACTACTCGTTCGTAGTGTTCATAGCTGCGAGGATCGCTTATATCCGTTTCCTCACCGCAGTGCACATCTATGATTTTCATATATTTCCAGTCATCAACGCATAATATTTATGTACATGTAAAAGAATGTGAACTGATGTTATCTTGGTACATGTAAAAAGTTTTCTCGGTTGAATAACTGGAATAACAATGCAAACATGAGATAGCGATAGTTTCTGATATCCGGCTATCGATAGACTTTGGATTTTATTCATCGTGAGAGACTCATAATTTTATTTGTCTCGGGCTCGCTTGTTGGCAAGGTCTATAGCTAACTTGAAGTTACATACGGCGAAGGTTTCAGATTTTTAGATTAATTACATTTTTTACACATTTGTAAAAAAAAGGCAGCACTTTTTCAAACACGTGCTTGCTCCCAAAGTTTTTAATCGTTATGTATGTAGCTGTTTAAGGCATATTTTTTTCATGAACGATTTAATAAAAAGAACCGAGGATTCTCTGCCTTTAAGTGACCAGACAACTAGAGCTAAAAGCCATTAGACTGAGAAGATGTCTATATACGCCATGTTCGATCCTAAAGTTTGAAAGTTTCAAGTTCCAAAAACCTCGTAGTCCGTGACAGAAAAATATTTGCTTCCTGTTAAAGACAAGTCAGTGTCAGAAAGAAAATTGACTGAGCGAGAGAGGTTACTGTAATTAGAATTGGTCTCGTTCGCATTTCTTGATATTTGAAGGTTGTACCAGCCACCGAATGTTGGTCCACAGTTGTTGTTGCAGAAAATGGCGTTTTCTCTGCTCTTGATTTCAGCAATTTTGATTGGTCCCAAACCGTGTGGATTTACCAAGCTGAACAGAAATGACTCACGACAAGGCACCCAGCGACATTGACCTATAGGAAAGGAATGAAAATAGTTTGACATTTTTAAGGGCATACCAAGATATGGTCTTACATGAAGTAGTATCTCCCTATTTTTTTTTTTAACCCTTTGACCCCTAAGAGAGACTAGCATCTAATTTCTCCCCACAGTATCAACCCTGAATCAAACATTATGGTCATGAGAATGAAGGAAATGATCACCAACTAAATAAGTTCTTGATTGTTTGACAAATTCTCCTTGTCAGCACCTTAGGAAATGTTCAGAGAGCAGTATGGAGAATATACATACTGATGTTAGAGTGTAAAGGTTATGCATAAGTGAAATTCTTGTAAATAAAACACCCAGGCTTGCCCTCAAATTCTGCACTTGTTGTCGGACAAGACCTTCCTTGAAAATTCTGAAAACACTTCTGACTAAAAGCTCACACTGATCTACAAGATCAGTTTTTACTCACCCTCTTTGGTTTTTTTAATCCGAAAGCCGAAGAAAAAATATTAAAACTGATCAACTGCATGATTTCATTTTTGATGCTTTACACTTCAAAACTCCGTTTGATTATTTAATAACAAAAACATTTCCACTGTTAGAGGTTTTCACACGTTTCTCAACGCTTGAAGTAAGCTGCCTGCATGTGCATGTTTGAGGGTCTCAGTGGGGTGATAGCTTTTACCGTTAACGGTTTACATTTTGGACAATTTACAGCTAACAATTAACCTATTTCCATTGTGTTCACCAGAAAAAAAATTTATGTTTAACTTTTTTATTTTTTTTTACAACTAATGGATAAAATTTGTCAATTTTACACCAAACGGCTAAATTTGTTGGCAGTTTTACGGCTAACGGTTCAAAATTCCCGTTGAAAACATCATGTTTAATCTAAAAGTATTATTTATTCTTCCGAACTGATATCTAGCTTGTTTTCTGGTTTATGGTTACGATTTCGTTGGCTTTGTTTCTCGACACTAAGCTGAAGATGAAGTTGTCCCTTACTTATACAAAACCTTCTCTGTGAACTTACTTGTCCACGAAATCTCTGTAAAGCCTCCAAATATGTTATCTCCACTCTTAACAATGGTAACCGTAGGTCCTTTGTTATCACATTTTGAATGAAAGGCTTGAGCTGTGAAGCCATCTCGCGAAGCTCGGAATAGGAGATGCCATTCAGCTCCTTGATCAGGAAGCCAGCGTTTCAGTAATTTACGATGATCTTCTCCTCTCACAATTTCCGACTCTTGGAATGATACTTTGGATTTCAATTCATCCATTAAGCCCTGAATTTGATAAAAGTTTGCTTCTGCCTCAAGCTCTCCGAGATTGACTGCATTCGCCGGCAAAGTCAGTTTTCCAATGCGAAGATAATTGAGTATAACCTGGAAGTGAGTTCCATCTCGGTCGATAAAGAACGCACCGTCCTCAGAGGGTCTCATTTCAAATTTTCCAGAGAACATGGCTGCCAACATTGAGTTTGGATCTTTTTTAAGCGTTTGGAGGCTTGTTGTGAAGTGTTGGCCACCGACGTTGAGCTTTACGGTAGGGAAAAAAGGAGGAAGCTGTTTCTGGTTTGCCATAATGTTGGGTTTACTCAGCAGGTGTAGTCTACGTTCGTCGTCAGAGAACTGAGTACTTCCAGTGGTTTCGCACCTTAAAGATGAAAATGATCCTATTTATCTAAAATTCATAAGAGTCGTTGTTCTTTTAACTCGCTTCAGGTCTCATTTTCACGCCGCAATTCATATCGCTATTAAGAATCGATGAGTTACGTTAACTCCCAAGCTTGTTTATAATATAAGACTTGGATGTCGATAGTTTTCAAAATCTAGTCTTGTTTAGCATATTTCCGTTTTTTAAGCTCCAATAGCTCTATCTCGATCGAAAAACACGAAAAACACAGAAAGAAAGCTTTATAAACGAATTGCGATTTAAAGACCCCAATTTATCATTCTACCGCAAAAAATTTTGGCGGCTACTGAGAGTGCATATATTCTCGAAGTGGACAGAGAGTACCTGATCAACCCAACAGTACTAGTACCGTGAGTACAAAAAAAATTCTTGACACTCTAGAATATGGGCTCGAAACATTATCAAATTAAAAGGACAATCCATTAATCTTACTGTTTGTCTTTCATTTGTCAACAGGAAACTTGCCTTTTCAATTTCGCCGTGAAGTTAAAACTGTATTCAGTATGGTTGCGAGTATTCCTTGTGAGAAAACTTACGGGTTACTGGCTCTTTGCGTCATGATCAAACAAGGTCATTAAGGTTGTTTATACAAACCGGCAATTTGAAAGCAAGTACGTGACTGTTCGGTTGGTTGAAATCTCATAACAATGACTGGCAATCAATTTAGACTGAATCTGCTCGTAGGTTATTATTTTAATTTGTAGTTTTATAGGCTGCTGGCATTAGTTTTTTCCCTTTGGCGCACACGTGTCTGAACAAATCGGTACGTGATTTCCGCCGGATACATTTCAATCTGTTCTTACAGACAGAGTCTCCATCTGAAATGTTTAAATCTGCTCTAAACAGATTGTGCAAAGTTTTTGAGTAACTTAGCCATAGACATTAAGAGTGGCCTTTGTCAACCAAAAGTTTCCCCTCGAGAAAAAAATTTTCCGTCGGGTTGAAAATGTTATAAAACAATTGGTTCATACGTCAGCTGTGCGTACATCGAGATATGAAGCACTTGGGAAGTTTGGAAAGCACTCAAGAAGCTAGAGTTGCTCGAGGCGTAGCCGAGAGCAACTCTTACGCATCTTTCGTGCTCTCCAAACTTCCCGCGTGCTTCATATCTCGATGAACGCACGCTGACATATGAACCAATTGTTATGTGTGATATTACTGAATTTTGGCAATAACTTTGGTAGCCACTCAGCATGTCTGGAGGATAAGTGTGGTCGCAGAACTGCCTTCGCTATGATTGCTGCGGCCCTTTGCAAAGGCGAACAAAGATTACACATAAAACAGCAACTTGTTTATTCAGAGAGTCGTAACACTCGTATATTTCCATCCAAATGCATTCGCATAATCACATTAATCTATTGAGGCGAGACGAGGCGAGATGAGATAACGAAAACTAGGAAAACAGAAAGGCAAAACCTAGAATTACAATAGGCCGAGTGCTGTAACTATCAAAGCAGAAATCACAGGAAACAAATGATTATGAAATCAACAGAAAACTTGCATCTGTGTCCTTTCAACCTTGGGAAACATCTTCTAGTCCTTTTATCCGTAACAATGACCATAAAGCCGTAAAAACCGTAAAACCGTAAATAAACTGTAAGACTAGAAATCTACCACGAAAACGTTCACTGAACGAATCGAGCTAGCGTGGTCCACCAGACCTAGCACTCGGTTACGCATAATTCAATAGGTTAGGTTTCAGTTGTTTTGGTAAATGAAAGACCCCTTATAGATAAGGTCCCCGAGGCTTTTTTAAAGTAAGGAAACAATGCCGGCTTTGAACGGTGGTGTTTTCAAGCGAATCCTTTGTGTGTATGTATATGAGTTTGCGATATTTAGACAGACTCGGTACAGCTCAGCGCTGCTTTAAATGGGGGCCTGCGTGGGTAAACAGGGACAAGGCAAGACCACAACACCGGGAACTCTATATCCTACTCTATGCGAGGAGTGTGTGGGTTCTTTAACGTCCCTTGCTAACCAGTACAGAGAAGAGACAGGAGACGGAGCCTACGGGTTACGTCCTTATCTGAGAAGACTAGAATGTCCAACCCCATTTGCCGATGTCAAAGCAAAGGCAGCACATTCTCCTCGGTTATTTTAAGACCCTAAGTGTTGGTCCGGTTTGAGGCTTGAACCTCTGACTTCCTCCCGCAGGCTACTCCGGTGTTCCCCGGTCACAACATGAGCTACATGAGCTAAACAAGCGCGGTTTATTGTTGATGCGGGAATTAGTAGCGGAATCGCCGGAAGAAATCATGATTTCGAAATCTCAGTTTTCGCTGCGTGTTTCCAAGCTTAATTTTTTCTTGTTAAAAAGGTGCCTTTAAGAGCCCTCGCGGTCAATGAGTTATAACCTGCACTTGTTAGCATTTAGATTTTCTGTTTGCATCTATATTGTGTGTTGTTTTCAGTACTTTTTTTTCAATTCTAACCGTTCATCTGCCAGTGTTAAGATGTGGAGAAACGAAAAACAGAAAAACAAACAAACAAACAAACAAAACAGCTACTGAAATTAGTTCCATAGAAATCATAGAAGAATTTAACGTCGAGAATGCGTTCTGTTCAAGTTGTTTAAATTGTTTTTAAGACGTTTAAAGAATCTAAGATTCAGTTCAGTTTTTTCAATTCAGCGGTGAGGTTCGACCTCTTCTCCATCATAGTTGTAATTAAAAAAATTGAAAAACGCGTTGAAATCTTGTGCGTTTGTGTAAAAGGTAAAAAAGCAAGATCCAACTTTTAAAACCATGTAAAAAACTCTACAACCTGACTGGGCGAGACGAAATCAGCATATGCACAAGCGTGTTTGCTTAAGCGTTATACCTACCAGCCTTCCAGATTCTGCGTTCCTTGGGTTGTGTGGTTAAGGAATTCAGTGGAAGATGTTGGCTAAATATTGGTCGTTCTCTGATGCCAAACCGAAGGAAGTCATCACTCATTCCTACTATATAGACATTACCGACACAATTTAAGTGGCAAAGTGAATGTACGAATACTTGACGACTGACACTTTCACTTCTAAATCAAGTTACAACACTTATGAATATTTTACTCTCGTTACAATTCGCTGCTCTGAAAGGCTATCAATCCACGTTTTTAGTCACTATAGCTTTTCTTTCATGTTAAGTACAGGATCTTTTGTTCGTTTGTTAGGCAGTAGTATCTCAATATTTATACCAAAAATTAAGCCGTCTATTCAATACTGTTTTCAGCTTTTTTAAGCTTTCTTTGAGATCTGTCATAATAGCAACGCCATAGTGGCGTCATTTAAAGAACTCTAATCAGAGCCCTTTCTCTTTAATTTGGAGTTCGTAGAGAGCTTCTATCGTACTTCGATGCAATACCCTCTAAATCTAATGAACTGAAGTTTTCCTATGTGCAATTTTACCATAGTTCTATGAAGCACCAACTGATTTGTTGATGACTGAGAATATTTGAATGGAACTGCGGATTAATCGCGAGCTTCAACTCCCTTCAAGCATGAATATTTTTTTTCAGGCTTCATTTTTATTTCTTTTGGAGGGGTATTCATTTTTTAAGAGGTATTCAGGTATTTTCCTTACTTTTTAAGAGGTACTCATGATCACTCTCATGTTCATGATTTATTGATCTCCTTTCGAGGTCTAAAAATTGTTCAGTCAAGAAATCAAAAATGTAATTGCATTTTTTTCACTTGCTTGGAACTAAGCTAAACCCCTTTAAAATTTAAACCAAGTTTTGAATCCCGAACATTCGCCACTTCGCGGTCAGAAAGCGTTAGCCTTTCGTCCTTCGCTCTGACGAAGGGCTAACGTTCGAAACATCAACTTTGAAACTCTTTACAATATCCAATTTACGTTATCAACTCAGTTGATAATACTAAATTACCGCTGTTATACTCTCCCATCGACGCAGCACCACCGTTTCTTTAGAAACTTACCTCCCCTACTGAGAGAAGCTGTCATTGTTTTGAAGCTCAATATATATTTTTTTTAATGGTCTCAGCAAAAGTAAAGCTTTGTTCCACATGCTGGTAGGCGAAACGGCGAGCAGGAAAATATCGAGTTTTTTGTTCTAGATCTCGAATCTTTCAAACTCGTTTTTATAATCGTTTTTTAGTCTGTCCGAGGCTACTTTTTTTAACCCTGTTTTTGAGCCCCTTAGAATGACTTGCAACTGATTTCCCATATAATGCCGCCATGAATCAAACTTTAAGGTTACGAGAAAACGGAAACGACCACCAACGTAAAAAAGCTCTTGAACAAATCGTCCTTGAAGCACTTTAGGAAAAAATGTATAAAAAACTGTTTGGAGGAAACGCATACCTGGTGGTAGGGTGGAAAGGCCTAAGTTGTTAAATCCCGTGGCTCTTACTCGGGTCTTACTCCGCTTGTGCTCTGGGCGATGTTCAATGAGAATACGAAGCAGAAAAAGAAGTATTTATACTCATTAACCATTGTCATACTCGTCAAGTAAAACGGCAAAAAAAAAAAAAATAAAAAAAAAATCATTAAAACCTGACAGAAGAAAATTAATGTTTCCGTAATCTTCTCTTTTACCTTATTATTCCCTATTCACGTCAACAACACACGTTTAGTTAAATTTTGCTTAACTTTATCAACATCAGAAACAGAGAACTGAAAAACGTAATTTTAAAACTTGAGAGTTGAATATGAAAGCGATCTTCGCAGTAATGAACCCTACTTGAACAGTAGTGAAGCTAAGGCCTGACAAAAATTCAGTACAGGATTTAAAGCCATGACCTCTGCGATACTGGTAGAGTGCTCTACCAACTGGGAGCTGGTCATTATGTTGGTCCCAAATAAACCCGTGAAGTGATGAATAAATAACTGTAAGTATATGAACGTCATATACATGTGAACTGCGGATAAAGAAGGATTCAGGAGGTCACTAACATATGATATCGATATCAACGTGCTTAATGCGAAGTCGAAAAATATCGGTTTAAGCAACTTCTATGAAAAGAAAAATAATAAAAAAATGAAACCATGTTTAACAAAACAGCTTTGAGACATGTTTAGACTTAGATGTGAGTCATTTCGTGTTTGTCACGCAACCTTGCAAAACGGGAGGATAAAAGTAACGTTAATACAGACACAGTGTTCCAAAACCGAAAATAAAACCAGAAAGGCAAATCCAGCTATTTGACTGAGTAGATATACTATTTTTGTCACGGAGATTTTGTTTGTTTTTATTTTTATCGATCAATGCTCTGAAAATAGTTCGCTTGTGTATCTTGTAATACAGGTACGTGTTCCTAATTCTTTTGCTTGTCACGCGGTGTTTAGTAACGATTTCGCGCCTCGCTCGCCTGGCACAATGGCAGCGGAAGATGAAGAGGAGATTTTGAAGTCACTACGAGCACAGAGCCGATCAGTTAGCTTCGTAACGGGATCAGAGTTAGTAAACATTGATCTTAAGGAGGATTCAAGTCATCTTAATGAAGACAGCGAACTTAGTGAGACGGTATGAATATTTGACTGGTCCATTTGTTGTTTATCTTCCACGGTCTGTGAATTTCACGAGCTTATAAATATTTGATGGGTTCTTTTGTCTCCTAGGAGTTGTTGCTGGCTGGAATATTGGTGAATGAGGCTAGACTCGGTCGAAATGGTTACTTTAAGACGTCTCCGAAAGAATTAAGGTTAGCTTGATGTTTTCATACAAAAATTTGTAGTATATTTGTTTACTTCATATCCCAAAATTATGGCACTTTTTCTCTTTCGCTCGGCGTCCTCATCGAGGAAGAATTCTCTCGTTTAAAACTAGGTTTTTGTCCACTTGACCTATACAGAATAGTGCGTTTTGAGTGATATTTTTTTTCATCTCTATAAAGCTGCTTGTTGTTAATTATTTACCTATGCAAATTTTATTTAGTGTAATTCAGATCTACTATACATTTTATGATTTCGTTCTGCTACCTTACGTTTTAAATACATCGAGGTATTCTTATATCGATATATTCCGAGAGGCCATTTGTGAATAAAAACAAGCTTTTCCTAGCTATTTTATCACATCTGTTACTGTAACACTGAATAGGAACCTAAATTGGGAGGGACCAGGGGTGGGGGTGAGGAGTGGTACTCCTCTGAGGGGTACTCCTCTCTTCAGACTGGGTGAAGGTACCCCACCCATTGCCACAATAGCTTTGAAGTCCTCCATTTAGCATTTCTAGATTTTTATTTAACTGCAGAGGGGAGAAGAACTTTGAATAAAACCCAAGTAGTCATTCTAGTGTGATCACTTCCCACACAACACCTTATTGCAATTTTAAATGCCATTTTGTTGTGTACCGTCAAATTCAAGGAAGCAAGACATTGGCCACTTGTTTGAGATGTTTGGATGCAAGCCAGGAAAACTGGGCCTAATGATAATGGATAATGGATGTTTTTTGTGATAACTTTGGACTCTTGTTTTCTGGGCAGTATGGTAAACTTCCTGTAATAAGAACCATAGTGAACAAACCTACCAGCATAATACCAGTGGACCTCAGCTGAAAAAACCTGACCTAGATTTTCTGATCAGCATACAAACTTATCAATTGTTAGCCATTAGGCTTTGCAATCATGAAGTTCCTTTTGCCTTGCTTTCCTTTTGTCATAGAAGATAATGGTGGAGTTCAGGTGCCGTTGTTGATTTTAATCACTGTACACACAATGAGTTGATGAATCAATCTCTTTTTCACTCTCATAGACTTTACAAAATTTACAACAAGCCAGTATTGCGAGCATTAGTGTACTTTTGTGTGTGGCTTAATCTCTGTTTGGCATTTTTTGAGGAACCTGCTGTACAAGTAATGACTCTGCCATATTGGGTAAGTCACTTGAGATTAAATCATGAGTTATTTATCAGCAGCAGAATTTAAATTAGGCAAAATTACACTTCAGATAATGCTGCTGATTAGAGATACCCACATTCTTGAGGTAGGGGTATAGATCTTAAGTCTTCGGCACAATTACCATATGATCCATTCATACAGGTACAGGAGTAATTTGGTACAGCCTTAAGCCTTTGGAGACTGATCAACCATTAGTTTCCCACTCCCTCATTTGTATTAGTTAATGGTTAGATACTCAACTGAATGGCTGGACAAACAGTGTGATAACTGGTTTATGCTATCCTAGTAAGGGGTTTCCTGTGGGTATCTCCTTCCCCATGCATGAATGTCACAGGGCTACTCCAATCTTTCTGACATGATGGACTTATGCTCATGATTGATTTCATTGGATTGAATGTGACACCTGAATCTTTCAGCTTCTACATTAAGAAGGCCTCTTCCTCTTTTCTCAGTTATCTTGTACAGTTCAATGATCCAGGAAAGGTGAAATTTTATGGTGTAATCCAGGAATGAAATGTTGTCAGTGTAATGTCTGTATTACAAACAAGTCCTTGGTGCAGGTGGATTATATACAAAGAAATAAGAAAACTTGTTTAGTCTGCCATCTTTAATGCTCACTCTCCCAAAATGCCTTGGGGTTGTGCTGGCACAAGCAACCCAGTTACAATGACTACATTCAGTAACTCAATAAGCTCATTCATCCTAATTGTTTTGTTTGCAGGCTACAATGTTACTCGAATATATCTGCCTGTTTGTTTTCATTCTTCGTCTGTTCCATGTCTGGTGTTTTGCTGCTGGTGTGAAATTTTGGAGAGACAAAAAAAATGTGATAATGTTGTCTATCATTGTGGTGAGACAGAGGAATTGAAATGACTTTCAATTAGTGTTTACAATCAGAAAATAAACAAGTAGATATTACTTTGACATTAAGAAAGTTAAGAACATAGAATCAGAAAAATTGGTCTAATTTTGTAGTCTTAATTTAATCATTTGAAAATAGTATTCTGATTGCTAATCACTGTCAGCACTGTCATTTCCCACAGAGAAAGAGGATAATGGGGATAATAAATTGTAGTTGCATTCTATTTCCCTGTATTATATTAATCTTCCCTTATGTCTACTAGGACTTATGCTCTCCCTCATCATTCCATCATTACAGACCACTTTATTTTGCAAGTCATATACAGTTGAACCCCACTTAACTGGCACTGTATTAAGTGGTCACCCTGTATTAAATTAAATATATTATTTTCCTTTCAAGTACTATAATTCTCACCTCTCTTAAGTGGTCGACTCTATTTAGCAGTTGTGGTGAACCTTTCTTAAGTCCCAACAGCCTGTTTGTATTGTCTTCCACCTGTATTGAACTGTCCCTTAAAGCTTAACCATTCAAGTAAAATTAAGTATGATCTCTCAAGTCAATTTTTTCCCATGTTTATCTCCTGAAGTCAATGTTAGTGCTTTGAATTGAAATGTCTTCAATGTATTGCAAATTATCTTCCTTCTTAAGACTGTTAGGACAAAATGGTGTTTTTTTTAAAATTGAATTTTACCCCTCTTTTATGGAACAGTGTATGTAGTGGTCAACCTGTTTAAAGCAGTCACCCCATAATTCCCAGGGGGTTATCGTTTAATAAAGGTTTGACTGTATAGTATTACTCCAGATACCTTTTCCCAGTCATTTTTGACATGTAAGCTTAAATTCTTTACAGTCTGCTAACCCGGCAGTCTAGATATCACCTTTCAGAGATCTTCACTGGAATTTTTTTTCAGCTGACTTTTCTTGACATGATTATGTATGTCATATTCAAAGAATCAAAACTCCCAGTTCACACCATGCGATGGACAAGAGTTCTTCGCCCACTTATTCTCATCAATATCAGTGAAGGAAGACACGTGAGTTTGATTGCATATTAATTTATGATAAAACTAATGTTTAAAATTACCATCACAAGTGGAAGTCAGCTGTGTTCCATACATATGTGGTATCTGTCCAAGGTATCTAGTTTTCAAATTGTTATTTCCAACCCTGAAAATATCTCTGTTATTACCTCATGAAATTCAGCAATAAGAAATTCTGAACATTTCATGACCAGTACCTTACTTATTAAACCTTTCACCCCTAAAATCTCCTTACAACATCGCCCCTAAATCACACATTAAGGCCATGAGAATAAAGGAAATGGTCAGCAACCAGAGAAGCTTTGGATTGTTGATTCTCCTCGTCAACACCTATGGAGAATATGCATACTGATATTAGGGTGTAGGAGAGAAGACTTTTATACAGAGTGTCAAAATTGATTGCTTGCTCTTCACTTTTTGATTATTTCTTGTCTGTCTCTTTTAGATTCGTAGAGCTGTAAGAAACATTAGAAAAACTCTGCCTGAGATAGCTAATGTTCTGGTTCTTCTGTCACTCTTGATTGCCTTATTTACTTTGCTTGGATTTAAGCTATTTGGTAAAAGGTACAAACATAATTAACCATAGAACATTTTTTACTTGAATGTCAAAAGTAGACCGGGATTATTTGCTTTTGTTTTTCTTTGCTCTTTGATTGGTCAATAAAACTCGTGCCACTTACTCAACCAATCAGATGTAAACTAAAACCACTCACGACTTGGTCGCCGGCGTTTCCCCGCGCTTAAGGTAGTTTGGTTGGTTTTACTTCGAGTCCTCATTGGCTCTTATACATTACCCAGCACTGGCTCTTCTTCTTGTACAATATGTATTCGTAATGCATTTGCGCTCTTACAACGTGACTGACGCTATCACGATTTCTATAACACGCTAGTGCCCCATTCAAAGTTTGAGCTTTTGACTTTCGACTTTTTTTTCAATTTATATTTGCAGGAATCTGAAAGACCTCCACGGAAAACCGTATTTCACGGACTATTTCGACGTGTATTTTAAACTGTATGTTCTGACAACAACAGCGAACAATCCGGATGTAACGTGAGTATTCTTAGTTGCGTTTTACCTATAATTTACGAGTGTAAGCAAATGGATTATTTTTGCAGAATATCTATTTCAAAGATTTGTAGCAGTTGTAACCCTTTCACCTCTAAATGGAAAAAAGCGTCTAATCGCACATAAAGGTCACGAGAAAAAGGGGAATGATTACCAACTAAAGGAGCTCTTGATTGTCAAACAAATTCTCCTTGTCAGCACCTTAGGAACTGCATAAGAAACAGTATGGAGAATATGCGTACTGAGGTTGGGATATAAAGGGCTAATCTTTGATAAAAGTGGGTTTGCTTCGAGAAATAAAATTATTCTTTTGTGAGCGCGAAAGACCAAATATACTTTCTTTTTAAGAACTCCTTTTCCTCCTGTCTTTGCCAAGCAAAACTGGAGAGTTAAAAAGTGGTTTTATTATTTTTTTGAAAACCGTCCCATAGATATATATACCCCTAACTTCTACACAAGGTGATTGGTTCCAGTTCCAGTTCCAGTTCCATTCCCTTTAGTTGTCTATAGGAATTAAGAAGAAGTACTTGTAGATAAAAGAAGTCTATTAACCATTTCATTTACATTACACTAACGGGATTCAAAACAGATTACATCGTTAACAGAAATGTAGAGAGAACGACCAAAGGAAAAAAAAAAATAATCCCGACGATTCTTGGAGATAGGCACGAGAGCCGGCTAACGCCACAGGTTATTTATTCTTAAAATCTACTTCCACAGGATGCCAGCCTATGATAACAATGCTTGGTCCAGTTTGTTCTTTGTTATTTTCATTGTCGTCTGTATGTACATATTTGTCAGTATTTTTCTTGCTGTTGTTTACAAGAATTACCGGATGCATATGAAGGTAACTTCTATTTAAAGGAACATATAAGCGTAGGGTGCTTTTCGATTGAGAATCGTAAAATTAAAACCTAAGTGATCTTGAGGGCCAATCAGAACAAGGTTTGATTATCGCAAGGTCCCAATAAGACGTTAAAGAGAAAACTAGTGAATTCCTAGTAGCGCGGGAAACACGAGCGACATAACCAGCTAGCGCAAAGTATATCGAAATCAATTCAATTCGTATTACTTTTGAAAATCAATGTTAAGTGCTCCATATATTTATGAATGCGTCAGCGTAGTTTTGTAAGAATGCTTTCTTTGCCATTTTTTGTTAGAATTTCACTAAACGCCACTTTTGGGAGGCTTTGCTGAGTGATAACCCTGGCCTATTTGTTGTTTCCCTGCACATCGTACCGCGGCACACTGAGTCTAGTAGCTTTGTTTATGCGACAAAATAATATGCGATAATATCGACGATATATCTAGGGTTATTACAACGGCAGGTCCTGGGAAGATGTTTTAGAATGAAGTGATATACAATGTACTTACGTTCACCCTGACCATTCCGAAATGGTTCGACTTGTCCAGCATATTGGCACTACGCCGGATCATGTTTCTAGCTGAAACTCTGAAGGTGGCGTCGAGTTCCAAACAGTAACATACAAAAAATAATCTAATGGTAATAATTGTAATATTGAGAAGGATAATAATGATGATTATAATAAATGGAAAAAAGAAAAAGATAAACGATTACGGACAGGGTTCCTCTCTCAGAAATATGAAAATTCAATTTATACCAAAAAAAAATTAAATTGTTTTGTATTCATTCTATTGTGGGTTTGATAGTCATGCCTACTGTAAAAAGTCTGGATCCGTTCACATATTTTTCATTTCCTTCTTTAAGAATGAAATCCGTGCGTCAGTCTACCGTAAACGCCGACAGCTGAAAAACGCGTTTGATGTGTTGAAAGTCAGGTCTAATGAGATGTGGGTCATCACACGAAAAAGGTGGTTGACTCTGATGAAAGAGGTTTGTCCTCAGTGGAGTCCTGCAAGAGTCGCTCTGTTGTGGCAAGTGCTTGATGAAAATAACGAAGGCAAGATAGGTAAGATCGACTTAAAGGAGGTTTCGATGTGTGTACGGGTATGTGTTAAAATTGACCAATTCCTAATGGGGCTTTTCCGGGCCAATACGAGCAAATTGGGACTGACAAACATTGTAAATGAACACAGTGTTTTTTAAAAACACTGTTTTCTATTTGAAGGGAAACAGGCCACATAGACTACATAGAAAGTGGAGCAAACGAGTTGAACTCGGGGCAACCGAGAAAAAATTAAATCCCGCGCGAAGCAGGGTGGAGGGATCGAATCCGGGACCACCAGATTACAAACCTAGACGCCCAGACCCCTTGGCCATACTTCCTCCTCAGCCTTTGAAACAAACTTATTTTCACCATGGATATAACATCTCTTTACACTGTCATTCCCAATGACGAAGGTCTCCGGGCCCTCAAACATTTTTTCGATCAACGCACTGTTAAGGAACCTAGCTCTGAAACACTACTCCGTCTGGCCGAACTAGTACTCACACTCAATTGCTTTTCATTCGGTGGTAACTACTACAAACAAACTAATGGCGTGGCCATGGGTACTAAAATGGGACCCAGCTACGCCAATCTTTTTGTAGGTTTTATCGAACATCAATTTTTTAGCCAATACCACGGCCCAAAACCTGAACTCTACGGCCGCTACATTGACGATTGCATCGGCGCTACCTCCTCTACCAAAGAGGAGCTCACTCAATTTATAACCGCCGTCAATTCCTTTCATCCGGCTCTTAAATATACCTGGAAAATCTCCGACACTTCTTTGGCTTTTCTAGACATCAAAATTTCAATTGAAGGCAACGGCTTATGTACTAGTGTTTACTACAAACCTACAGATTCACATAGTTACTTGTTGTATTCATCCTCACATCCATCACACGTCAAGAACTCTATACCTTTGTCACAGTTTCTCAGACTTCGTCGTTTATGTAGTGACGACTCTGATTTTTCCGAAAAATCAGAGGCAATGTGCCAGTTTTTCGATAAACGTGGCTATCCTGTTTCTGTCGTTCAAGCGGGCTACCACCGTGCCCAACAAATCGATCGACAGGCAGCACTACAAACGGCCGAGAAGGAGAACACTGACCGCATTCCATTTACTCTTACACACTTTCCATCACTCACAGGGGTTTCATTTAAAGTCGCTACTTGCGGTCTACTGCTGCATGTAAGACATCTTACCGCTGTTTGTTGAGCCTGCAAGCAGGCTGTTGTGTTTGGGTATCACCTTACGGCTCAGCAGCCTATTACACTAGCCGGTGTAATAGGGGACAGCCGCTTATGGAAAACATTTTTGAAATCCCTGAATCATGTTAAACAAACCCTTTTAATGGGAATTTTTACCTGTGTATGTTTTTAAATTAAACCTTGGCTTATAGGTAAAAAAGACTTCCTCATGGTTGCTGACCTATTAAATGTGAAAGTCATCGAAGTTAGAGACCAAGTCAATCTGTTCGAGAGATTCATTCCAAGGGTTTACAATTCCCGCATCAGTGCCATGATTCGATTGGGCGTGTGCCACAAGTATGTGAAAGAATTATGTTAGTTTTCGCGAAAGCGTAAGCTTCCTTACTTAGATCTTGTCTCTTCCTAAGGACAGGCCAGTTAACTTGCTATTAAATTATTTCTAACAGAGAATTTCCAGATTTCTTCGATCTTAAGAAGCGATTGATAATAGTAGTAGGACTGTGTGGAGTCCAATTCGGTCTGTAATCATACGAGTGATTAACAAAATCGGGTGACCACGAAGCGGGAGTCCAATTTGTTAATCACGAGTATGATTACAGACAGAATTTGATAAAACGAAGTCTTGTTACCAATTAATCATAACCGTTACAGTTTCGGTAAAAACAAATACATCTAGAACAAAAATAAAACTGCATCAAATGATGATAATGTCTAAAATTGAAAATTCCTTCATTTGGAAATTCCGCAGTTTTTCTTAGATAAGTGGTTGTTACTGTGGTTACTGTGATCAACTCTGTGATTGGTGGATTAAGCTTAGTGGACTTAATATGATTGGCTGCTTGAACTGTCCGATCACAGTGTCCAATTACAGCCAACGGTCCGATTATCCTCTTCGATTACAACTCTACAAAATAATCAGTGTAAAGCAGTTAGTGCACTGATCAGGAAGGAAATTGTAGTGGCTATGATTAGATTGAAAATAAAAATCGCCCCACCTACTCAACCTCTTAAATGAAGATGGACTTGGAGTTTTTCCATTAGTATCCCTTTTATACCCAGATTACTGATTGGTTCGCTTTCTTTATTCGGTTGACATTTATGGCCGTAAATCGTCAAAGCTTCATCTCTGAACGATTTGGTTTTAACTTGGCTACAAAAATATGAGCGGTCATTCTCTTGAATCCTCCTACATGTCTCGGTGATATATTGAGAATATACTCTTACCTCAAGTTTATTTGTAAATCACCCTCAGGAGACAAACGGTTAGCAATCGTAAACTAAGTTGTAATACGGATTTTTTTAGACGATATCCAGTAACCTTTAATTTTTTAATGGTGGTTAACCTATAACTTCTCTCCATAATACCCATAGCAAACGGGTAATGAGAATACTCAGACTTACCAGGTTAAACTTGTTATCTTGATCTTACACTAAATTCTTGAAACTAATTTTCTAGAAATTGTGTAGCAACTACAAGGGAGAATTAGCAATCACATCTGGGAGGTTTAAGGGTCAAGAGATTATGGCGTGGTGGGGTATGTGTCATAACTAAATTAGGGTTCACTATTTTTTTTTTTAATTTTCGGTTCTCGTTGCAGATATTTCGTTTATTTCTTCGATTTGGTTATTTTCGCCAACGCCATTTTCATCGCTCTGGAGAGTGATGACGCAGAAGTGACCTTCCTAGCGCTGTTTAACTTGGAGATCTTTCTGAAACTGTATACATACGGCTTTAAGAAATTCTTCGCACGATACTGGAACATGTTAGTAATGTGCTATTAGTAAATCTCTTATTATTATACGCAGATTATTATACGCAGAAATCAAAATCTCAATTCTGATTTGCTACAAGCGTGCAGTTTATTCTTTATGGCACTCACACCCACCGAGAATAGTTTTTATGCGCGTAGAACTGGTTTCATACCCAGAGATCATCGAGAGTAATAATACAGTTTATTACAGATAGCAAGAAGTATTAAGTAATTTCTTTGTTTCCGGCTCTGACTGATGTTACAAAGCTCGAGTTTCACCATTCTTTCTTTCATTCTTAGCCCCATCCAATAACTTAAAATTGTTTTTGTCTATGTTCTTCATGCACCATCAGAGTCCAGTTACTTTAGTATTGCTTGTGGTGATCGCATGTAACCTCTCTCCTGGTGCTCGTTTGTTTTACAGATTTGATTTCCTAGTTATAGGCGCAGCGACATTGGCTCTTATCATTGAAACATCTTACGAGTCCTGTAAGTTAAAATATGTTGTGTTTTATCCGTAATAATAAGGCTTGTGCCAAGCACGCGCTACTAATGAAGAGACCGCAAAAACTGGTAACGTATAGAAAGCGAATTATTGTGAATATTGACAAGAAAGATCAAGGCAGCAATTATTGTGATAACAGGTTCTCGAATGTTTTAGTAGGGAACAAATATGCACCACTTATGATGATGAAGCGACCTAAATTCGCGACACAGGATTGGTGATCTCCGTATCTTGTTGGAATCTCAGAAAATGGGAGTGGTCGAAAAATAGCTCACTGAGGAAACATGTTTTCGACTTCTGTTTTTGATCATGCTAAATCTTTCTTCTTCTTTTTTTCTCTCGTTTGCTTCTTACTGTTTGTTTTTGCCTCTCTCTCTTCCCAGTGCAGTCAAGTCAAGGTGTTCTGGATTTACTGATGGTTCTTCGAGTTCTCAGATTAGTGAAAATTATGGGCCAAATTAAGCGGTTTGTATCGACACTTACCGTTCAAACAGCGCGAAACGTAGAGAAAGATGTTTTTCGTCTTGTCACGAGCGTGAGACAAAGAAAAAATTCTATTCCCCCCGAGGAGTCGAACCTCAGACCTTCGGATTTTGCGCTCCTATGCTCTACCTCTGAGCCACAGAGACTCTATGGTGGGCAAGGTCTATAACAAAGTTCATGCACGACACGTGTCGTGCATACTGCTTAGATCAGCAATTTCGATGGCGTCATGAGGTTCGATTGTTCTTGGGGACTCGGAATATTTTCTCTGTCTCACGCACGTGACAACACGAAAAAGCATCTTTCTCTATTTTTTAACTGAGCTTAAAAGTTACCATCTTTCTTAATCTATTTACAAAATCTTGCGAAACCTGTTTTCTTAGCCATGAACATACTAATGGCGGAAAATCCTATGAAGCATTAATCCTGCCAACGCGATGCTCAATTCAAACTTATTAAAAGCACCTTCCATTCTCCGACTTTTTTTCTGTTTTGTTACCTATGTTTGTCGCATTTACAGGTCGATTTTGTTCCCAGATTTCAGGTTATAATTGGAACAGTCATGCAGATTGGTCCAGCTATGGGCACTTACGGCGCCATAATGTTTGTAAGTTTGCGTCAGTACTTTCTCGGGGTAGAAACATTCGATAAATATTTCACGTCAGAGCTTATGCTCGCCAACAAATTTAAGAACGCAAGGTTTTGTCTAAATTGATTACTTTTAGTGTTACCTGTGCCTCAACCCTGTAACTGAAATGATCAACATCATTCATTCTTTAACACGGGCCTATTGGTCGGTTAAAAGGACGCTATTCTGTCCGCTGTATGATGCACTTATTCGGTCGGTTTTTAAATTTCTCTCTCTACTGTGCGCACTCATTTCTTGAGTTATGAGAATTGCCAGGCCAGTTGTACGCAACTATTTCGTCGGTTGTGAAAAATACTCTGTCAGTTTTATGCATTTGTCAGGACGGTCCGTTCTAAAAATCAGTCAGTCCGCGGTACGCATTTATTTGGTCGGTTTCACCAACTAGCAGTAGATCTATATTTGATGTTTATTCTTTGAACACCTCTGAGTGTCTTGTCTACTTATAAATTGTCCCAACTACAAATCTCTCTCATTTTCTTTTTTCGTTTGTTTGTCTGTTTGTTCACTTGGTTTATTGTGTGGCAAGATAGTGCTAGGGTAAATCCGAGCATTGTGATTGGTTCTTACCGTTCCCGAACTGCTACGACCTCAGGCCACACTTCCCGAGAGCGGCGATCACACTCGATTAGTTAGAAGTTAATTTTTTTCAGGTATTGTACTACATTTACGCCATTATGGGGATGGAACTTTTTGGAAATTTAATCAAGTCGGAAAGTAGCTACCCTACCTCTGGTGAAGAAAGTTCTGATGGCGAGAATCTCACGTTTTGTGGAAACATCAAACTGAAAGGGTCAGACTTTTACGGGGATCGCTACTGTAACAACAACTTCAACAACATCCTGAGGTCTTTTAAAGTTTTGTTTGACCTGATGGTTGTCAACCAATGGCATAGTATCCTTTAAGTTATACGTTTTGTTGCCATCGGTTCGTTTTAACAGCTCAGTTGTTTTTTAAGCACAAGTGTCAGTAGTGATATCGATTTATCCTCCGTGATGTTAAGTTTTCAAGGTACAAACCAACCCATTGAGCCTCTTTGGAGGAAAAGGCTCATCTAAGGTAATTACCTGAATCACTTTTGTTTTTTACGGGCCGGCTGAGTTTGCGTGTTCCTTGAAGTAATGCAAGGTTCCACTCTTGTTCAGTTACGCTGATCATATCAGTCTGGGTCCCATTCCTTGACTGCCATGACTTGGTAAATGCCTTGCGCCTCCTTTATTCAGCAAAATCTGCATCCGTGCCTTCAAAACGCGTTCGCTCATATTTGTCGGGGCATAGAAAATCAAGGCCGGATGAAGCCAAGTCAAAACTTTTAATGCCCTTGCATATCCAAAAGGGCTAGCGAAAATCCTTGTCTGGTTATTGTATGGAAATCAAAGGGGTATGTCCGGGTGGTTCGTATACGTGGATATGATTACTTCCGCCACTGGAATTATAGCTGTCCTTAACTCACGTCCAGTTATCACTCAAGGCTATGTTCGAGTAACAAACAAGTTTGCCAGACTTTATTTCCTCTCGTTTCACCTCCTTTGCGTTATTGTGGTTCTTAAGTAAGTACTAATGACGATTTGATGATAAACATTTTGTCTACATACGCAACAACACCACGTTCAGTATTAATTGGTAGCTGGCAAGAGACGATGATGCCTGGCTCTGGTGGAGACTGTATTGTCTGTAAGGGTCTCACTCCATAGGAAATCCTGAGAGAATTATTTTTAGATTTAAGGTATTTAGTAATTTCCTTCCAGGAATTACACCTTAGTCGTTGCTGCCTGGGTGCTCTCGCAAAGAATATTTGTGGCCACATGGGCTTTGCAAGTGACTCAAATTTGAATAATGAATCTTGATTCTCGTCTGGTTTCTGAAATCGGGATTGAATTACCTGTCCAATCCAAACCGACGTTTTGATTGGACATGTATGCTATATACCATGTTGGTATCCTGTCGACGATTTTTTTCGTAAAAATGTGTTTTACTCTTTCTTATTGCTTCATTCCTCTCATTACCTCGCAGTATATTCGTAGCATTCATTTTAGAAGCCTTCATGCTGGAGTACTCATTCACACACGGAAAAATCGAAACAGTTATTAGTAAGAAGATAGAAGAAAAGGGCGTGGGGGTAGGAATGTAAGTATATGCACAATGCATGTATTTGTTACTTATTTCCGAACCAGAAGTGGAATTTTCGTAAGGAAAGATTGTTGGGTGTTTGGACCTAGTTTAAAGTAGTTTTTACGTGCATAAACTCAATTAGCAATATTAGATTAAAAACGACAAGAGGGAAGAGTTCGGTAGATTAGCGCCTTCCTACTTACACAATTTCAGCAAGATTTAAAACAGGTGCAATAGGTGCAGGTTAGAAATTTGAAATGAAAAAAAAATAATCGAAATTCTTTGTGGTGATCTTGGAATTTGCCTTACTTTTAATAAATTGTAAGATTAGGGCTTATGGTCGTGCTCACAGATCGTCAGCTCGCCGGAATTACAACAATTAAAGCGCCTGTACAGTAAACCCAGTGGAATCTCTAGGAAATCATCTTCGCAAACAGTCACCTGCCTTGAAGATTATTTCTTTCTCTGACCAGGGTAGAATCCTGAACACTAAAGGCAGCTTTCACGAGTTGTGTGTAGCGCGAGTTGTGTGTACATTAAATAACAGAGAAGGATTTCCCTCAGAGTATTAAAGAGATTTCGAAATACATTCGCTCAATGGGAGCACGACAAGAAATGAAATGTTGCTGTCTGTCTTTTGCCGTTAATTTGAGAAACTTTATATTTATAGTTTTCAATTGGATTTATTTGAGGATTTTTATATTCGTATTGTGAAAATGATTCTAATTTTAACATCGCCTAGAAGCGCAAAAGCGCTTTCCCGCAGTAATAATAGTCACGAAATCTTATGGTCTCTTCGTAGCTTGCGTCTTTATGAAGAGCGACTTCCCGCCCATAGAGATGCCTCGACTCAAGCGAAGGTCTTCCTTTTTTTGTCAAATAACACAGTCCAACTCATGCGGGGCTCGATTTCTCTCACTCTCTGCCCCCCTCTGTCTGTCTGTCTCTCTCGTGCGCGCGCGTGGGCTCATTATCGAGCCTTAACTCGTGTATATAGGCAAAAATAACTGATTTCACTCTGTTCTCAGGTGTCCGATCAAAGAGAGGGCTGCCTCTCTTCTTTCCATTGATGAGATTACCGAGTCAGTTGGCAATGGCGGTTTTGCCTCGGTGGAAATGCTTGCCATGGACACAGGCTTGAGATTCAAGATGCCGAAACAACAGAGGAAAAACGCTGATGTCTTGTTGCAGGAAATGTTTGAGGACGAACTTGAAGAGAACGATATCGGACCGAGAGATTTAGAGGATTTAGACGACTTGGATGACTCAGTAGACCTTGTAAGTGGACGTTCTAGAAGGAAGATCACATTTCTCAATGTTGATACAGATTGACTTCTGTTTCTGGATGTACTGACTTCCTTTCCTGGTTATACTGATCTTCGATTCTGTGTATACCTATGTACCGTTTTCGGCCATAGGTCGTTCAGTTACTGCTCTCAATTTTTAGATCGGCGTGAAATTTTAAAGCCTGTGAAGCCATAAGGAAGACATATCGAGGATCACGTCTTTCTCCATGGGAAGAATATAGCTTAATTAAGAAAAGGCATTGTGCTCTAAATGAATCGTGGATCTGTTGAACAGGTGGTGAAATTTGTAAGTGAAGATTGGCAACACGATTCATAGCCAAGCAAATTTTAAAATCACGACCAGGAACACATATTTTTGATTGGAACTATTTTTCGGAAAATATTTGAACGCGAATTGCATGAAATTCATCACATATGCTCTAAACGTTAATAGAGTAAGTTTTTATATTGATCGTAATGAAAATAAAATATATTCTGAAGGTTCAAGAACACGTCTTACTCTTGGTTAGTCATCGTATACCTCGTTCACGTCCTCTACGGTGCACAATTAGCCTATGTACCTAAAGCAGACAATCGGTGAAATCACGGACGATTGCTTTGGACTGTTTCGCCTTAAAGACGTTTTGGAACAGTTTAAGAACCGCTGACCAAAAATATCGAGAATCCGCCGACAGTTAAAAAATTTCGCAATTCATCTTTTTTTCCTCAAGGACTCTTTTGATGAACCTTTTTCAAAAATTATCTCAAAAGGTTCTATTGCGCTTTGCTTTCTCCATAAAATCGAAAAGTTCAAAATACGCATAGATAGCGTTTGTCTCCCTAACCTAGTGAAACAATGAAAAATTATGCAGCTTCGGCAGCTTTGTACGCCACAACGCTACGCATTTCCCGCTTTGAAATTTTGTGTGTCAGCAGATGATCATTTTATCTTTTTGAGAATATAAATTTCTAGCCATGCTGTTACGTTTAAGTCTGAATAGTGACTCAATGTAATAAAATACCTCGTGTCTTTTTCGGAGAGGTAAAATAAAGGCCAACTTTAAAGGATTATAACACGGTCTTCCATGTATATTTACAAATCATAATATACATCATCCTAAAGCTTTATCCTTACAGTTGAATACCCTCAATTTCCTCTCTTGGCCCCCCTTAAGCGGCGCGTCCAGGTTGAAAGAGTTTGGGCTATTACGAAAGAAAAAAATGCGATGCGAACCGTTGAACAGCAGTCACGCAAGAGGTCTGAATGAGAGATTGATGAAACAAACTAAAAATGACGATAACGCTTTTCCTTAGCGTATAACCGACGACTTTTCTATCATCAAAAAGGTTATGTTTGCCAAAACTTTAGTAGCGAACTATAATTGTTACTTCCGAAGTCAGTTACAACGTTTTAACTGCACTGATAGTCGATGAGGTGGAACGATTACAGCTGTAATTAGCGCATTTTGTAGAGTGGGTCATTAGGTTCTATTAGAAACCGCAAAACCGTCGCAAATATCATTGAACACCCAAGCCGAAATACAAGTTTTTCACCAAAACGGAAAACCCGATCTAAATATTAGCCAAACCCGCGAATTCGAAAATCCTATTGCCCCGTGGGCATCCTTGGCTCGATCTGAGTTACCGACTTCTCTGGGGATTGAACGGTTTCTATTTTCCTGATTTTTAGCACGTTTGCTAGAGGGTCAGACATGCCCTCGGGTGCACGGATGGTTCGAGCAACTCTTTGGAGATTTCTTGACCTCCAAAATTCCTGCGCGTTCCATATCTTGATGAAAGCTCATTGGCGCATGAAACAATTGTTAATCTCAAGTGTTGTGTGCCGTATCGGTTACGAACAACAAACAAATGTTAGTTGTAAGATGAGCGCTATTTATTGAAGAATGATTTCCGTGTTTGTGCTGTGTGAGCATCAACATGTTTCAGTAGTAGATTTATCTGAATCAGTGGTTTCACCCTGTGTTTCTTCTTCAACTGAACGAACAACCTTGTTTTTACACACTGTAGCATAAAGTCCTTGTTTTGAACGTTATAAGCGCGTTGCTTGGCATTCTTCTCGCTTGTGTAAGGGCGATTTACCACAAAGATAACATGTTTTGGCGGGAAATTTTCTGTGAGGTTTTTGTACCTTTGACTGCTCGTTTTCTTTCATGTTTCTGGGTTTCGGGCGGCTTTTCTCCATACTATGAACGCGATTTATTTTTCCTTCTAATTTTCTATTTTCATTTGCTTTTAAGATTTCGTGATGCTCTTTGACAAGCTCAGACAACTTGGTTTATGTGATAGCTTTATCCGGTTTGAATCTGTCATCTTGCATAAGCTTCTGAGAAAATGAGTCGAGACGAATTCCAACAACAATACTATCGTGTATCAATTCTTCTGTAAGCGAACAAAACTGACAATACTCTGCGAGTTCATAGAGGTTTTCAAAAAAATCAGTCAAACTCTTTCTTACCTCGTACTCGTTTGTTGAAGCGCGCTCGTTTATTCTTTTTATACAACGGTCGAAATCGAAGTGCGCAGCGTTGACTTCGTCTTATAACAAGAATAACAGTGAGCTTGGGACGCTTGTGGTGAGAATATTTTAAAAATATCTCGGGAAGAAGCAGTTCCGAGGAAAGTTCTAATGAAGATGAACCTGACTCTTGACTGTCCAATGATCAAAGCGACAATAGGCACCGTGAATTTTGCCGCATGCGGCAATTATCGACCGCAATTCACAAAAATAACCAAGATTTGACAAGATCGAAGCCCAATTCGAAAGAGTAGCATTATGTTGCGATCCAGAAAAACGCTGTTCAATTTGTTGCACCCGCTTCTGTTCAATCCTGTGCCGCAAAATTTCCTTTACGGACTGTGTGGATGAAGATTCTTGAGATGAAGACAACTCGCTCATGCAACTTCTTGTCTCCGCGCTCTCCATCATCGCTGGCATCACATCGCAAGTGTGACAAATTTGCAAAGGATAGTGGGATATATAAGGAACGTCGAGGATTGGAATACTGGAATACAGCAAAAGAAAGGCGGAATTTGCATAGTTTTGATATGAAGTCCCCGCATAGGGCCGCCATTTTTTTTCTTCGCGTTTCATGGATCGTATCACCCAAGTGAGCTCGAGTAGCCTATTTCCCGCGAAAAGATAGTCTAAAAATAAACCGTTCTGTGAAAACGCCGTGACATAGGCCCAGTATGGGAGTTGAAGGCTCCAAGTGATGGGCTCTTGCAGGTGTATTATATTAACGTTTAGCTTTTTGGTAATTGAATGTAGAGTTAGAGTTTAAGAGACGGTCCGTGCCTTCTATTTGGTGAGTTTTACTCTAACGTCTTCACAACGGCTTTGATCAAATTTTATTGAACAGATGGGTTGCGGATCTCTCTTTTAAAAGTTTAATGTTCTATTGCGCAATATGAGTACCGCTCTGAAATAAATGGTTTTTTCGTCGACTTTAGGTTCATCAAGTCATGAAGCACTCGTTAAAAAGCACTCAGCTAGAGTTGCTCTCGCCTATGTATGGTGTAAATCTTGGGCTTCTTTTCTGATCCCTGGAATTCCTGGACGCTTCATATTTCGATGAGGATATGGTAACTGAGGGTGGTGTCTAAAAGTACATACGAGCGACCACGAATGATCAAAAATGGCCACGAGTGACCACGAACGGCCAAATATGACTATGAGTGATCACGATTAATGGGTCATCAAAATATTTGGCAACCTCGATTCTACGGTACTCTCTCTATCCCTCCCTCGAGAAAGTTCCCCGGTTGCAGCCGGTCACGTACTCAGGCAGAACAAAGAAGGCCGTCGGGAGGGTGGAAGAGAAAAGTTCCCGGGAGCAAGGTTGAGCCTTTTGCTGGCATCTTAGTGAGGTCGTTGTTACGTCATTTCATCTAATAATCATGACTCAACCATAAATAAAACCATTTCCGAAGACCATAATTTGTGACAGATGTATCATTTCCTTGTTTTCCAAAGGGCAAGTCGTGGACTAGGATTTCGCTATCAAATAATATTAAGCTGTTATCCTGTTTCTCCCGTGTCCACCCTCTCGAAAATCTCGCTTCCCACTTTTCTGCATTTTAAATCTTCTCTTGAGTGAAGGGAAGAAAGAAAGCTAAGGGAGGGGGGAGGGGAATATAGATGGAAAGAAAAAGAGTAACGTAATCAAAAAAAGAAGTTAAAAAAGGAAAAGGAAAAAAATTAAAGAAAAAGGAGGACCACTGATAGCAACCGGGTTTCGGGAGTGACGGGAAGTTGAATGATTATACCACCACCCCTCCCCTCTCTCATCCTCTTAGTCTTAGATTAAACTGATATCTTGGAAGGAAATGGAAAGAAAAATGCACTGTCTCGTCATTTCCCATAATTAATCTAGACAAGAGAATTTATACAGTTTTTCTGCTATTGATTATGACAAGTCTATTGTTGCTTGCTTCAATTACTTATTTGGTTTTGCTTGATAAAATCTAGATCATGAGGAAATCTATTTCGCTACAAATTAAAGAAGGACAAAAAGAAAATGACGAAGAAATCCTGCAATCGTTACAATGCTGGAGGAGATGATGGTTAACAAAGTTGCCGCTGCTAGAGCAGTGATGAAAGGGAAAATGCGTCAAGATGGTAACCTCCCAATTGTGGCATTTGTCGACACATCAGAAAGCTATTCTGTCAGAGCCTCGAATGTGTCCGATGACGAAATAGCTAAATCCATCAAAGACAAGTTTGGTTGAACCTTCTTTTACGGCTTTCCAGGCCTCATCGGCAATCATACATATATCAATACATATTATCGATACTGGTTGTATGATTTAAGAGAAGGCTGAAAGTCTTTGTCATGCGTGACGAAAGATACTCTTGGAGCACCATTGTGAATTTTGGATTTCATTAAAATAAAGCAGTTGCAAAATAACTCCCAAGTTTTTCTTTCGAAAGTTATCGATATCGTACTGTCACTGAGTAATCTTTGAGTTCTTCAATGGATAAATTGTTTCCGAGACTGCTCGTTTGGTTTCAGAACCTTGAAACTAACATTTAGTCCACGTCATCAACCAGATCTGTTTCTTTTTTAATGAAATCCTGTGACATAGAAGGGTTGCGCATCATCCCGATGAACTCTAAAAAATAAGTAACAAAGTGTCAAAACTAAGGATAAAATTTTTATACTTTCGCAACGAACATAATGCGTTAATGAAAAAAAGGGGTAAGTTTCTAAAGAAACTGTGGTGCTGCGTCGGTGGGAGAGTATAGCAGGTAATTTAGTGTTAACAACTGGGTTGAAAACGTAAATTAGCCACCGTAAAGGGTAAAAAAGCTGACGTTTCGAGCGTTAGCCCTTCGTCAAAGCGATTAGACCCTAATCGCTCTGACGAAGGGCTAACGCTCGAAACGTCAGCTTTTTTACCCTTTACGGTGGCTAATTTACGTTTTCAACCCAGTTGTTAACACTAAATTACCTATAATGCGTTAATGTATTGGT